TTGGAAAGCCTTTATTCAGGCATTCCCAAGACCCGGGGACAGGCACAGTGCTCAGGACGGAGGGCACCAGCCAACAGGCCATCTGCACGCAGACACCCGCAGAGCAGTCAAGAGTTAGTGAGCTCAGCAAAGACAGTGAGTGAGCAGTGTCTGCTCGCGCCCACCAGGTATCGGCAGGGAGACACCAGTCACCAAAGGCCCAGCCCAGTACAGGGCTTCCACCATGACCTTTAAAGGATGGCCAAACAGGAAACCCCAAGGCTTCCAGAAAACTCCATCAGCTGGTGCAGAGGGGGTGGGGAGGGAAGGAACTCACACTGAGCATCACTCAGACCTCTGAGGGTTTAGCTCCCAGAAGACAGAGACCAAATAAAGGGAAGAAGCTTTTGCTTGCTAATGGGATCTAGGAAGGATTTTTTTCCTGCTTCTTTACACCTTACAAAATCCCCACAATGAACATGAGGGGAAAGGCAGCCACGCCCGCAAGGGCACAGAATCTGCTCTGGTGACTGGCCCAAGTCACCTCCCTGCCATCACCCGACACTTGCTTATGAAATGTACATTTAATACGTTTGCAGTTAAATGTATTAAATGTACATTTAATACCAATTTGCTGTGTAATGAATCCACACAGGAGCGGAACTGGCCGAGAAGGCCTCCCACAACCCAGATCAAAGCATTGCCCTGTTTTACCGTCACAGCGGCTCTTTGCTCAGTTTTGTATTTACTTTTCTAGGAATCAGTTGAAATCTCTCACATCTCCCTGGGGCAGCTGCGACAACAGAGGTTTCAGTCCCCAAGAGGAAGACAGATAAGCTCCAGGTGACTCTCTGAATGATCACAGAACACTACGCATCAAAAAGGGGCTTCAGCAGTTCTCCTGTTGGAAACTGTTCTGTCTTCAAAGCCTCAGTTACCCCTCTATAAATGGGGGGGTGGGGAGGGGCACTACAGACCGAACTCACACAAGGTTGTCCCGCAACAAGAAATGCCCGGACAAGGAGCAGCACCACGCCCAGCGCAAGAAGCACACACGCTGGCCATGGCGCTATTCCTGGACTGACCGCTATTCACACCTTCCACCCAGATCTCCTGCTGGTGGCCAACAGGCTGACACGTGAAGAACGTTATAGCAGCCCCTCTAAGGCTGACACGGGCTTTGCTGCCAATCTCTGAAAGATAAAACCTCAACACTGACCAGCCACATCAAGGAACTCCGAGAAGGTCTCCACTGGCATGAACTCCTCCTGGAAGGTCTTCAGGGCTTTGTCAGCAGCTTCGTAGATGGGCATGTCGTTGTGGCGGATGTACTCCGCTAGAGAGCAGGACCAGCCTCCCTCCGTGTTGCTGGTAGGCACCTTCTACAAGAACCAACAGGAGACAGGCCGGGGGTGGATTACTTAATGCCTGTCTTGTGCCTTAACTCAGGACGTTTCCATCCATGAAGGAGGGAGAGCCCCCACTGCCATCAAAGTTTTCCTTAGAACATGTGTTTCACTTCCAGGAACAACAAATTTTCACTTCATTCCTCATACAGGCCCTTATTTGGCACCATGTCACCACACTCTACAAGCTACAATAAGCTCCTGTGTCCTTTCATCCCCAGACACTTCACGTCTGCGTTTCCCAAAGAAAAAGCAGGGTGAACAGGCTTCAGCTGAGCTGCTTCATTCAGCTAATACAAGCAACCAGCCAAAACCCTGAATCCCCCAAGTCAGAGAATTTATGCAAATAGAGGGTGAGTGGGGGCAGGGGAGGTGGGAAGGATGGCGGGAGGCATCTCCAGTAGAAGGAGGTCAGCAGCAGGCCCGAGACCAGGAGCCGGGCGCGCTCCCGGCTACAGTGCACATTGCCGTGCCAGGCTGAGTGACCTCCAGCTGTGGGCTCTTCTCAGGGCAGGTCGACCAAGAAGCCACTGCCTGGCTGCTGAGCAGGGCTGAGCCGGCAGCCCAGACGTTCCCTCCCTGCAGAAAGCCCCCATCGCTTCCTTACCTTAAACATGTTGTAAATGAGATCGACGATGGCCCAAAAGAGAAGGGAAGAGCGGTAAGCAGAGTAGTCCCTCACAGCCTTGTCTGTTAGCCTGGAAGAGAAATCAAATTCCATGGTTACTGAGACCCCAGAAGGACGCACGGAACAGAGCAAAGCACCAGGAGCGAGGGAAGAGGCAAGGCAAGCTACCCATCACCAGTTCCTGGCACTCAGCCATCTTCGTGGAGAAAAGCAGCAGTGAGCAAGAACTTCTGAAGGCGTCAGACCCACAGAGATCATTTACTACGAAAATGCTTCACAATATGTCCTTAGTACTGACCCTCTTCAAAACCAGGGGGAAGCAAAATGGGGGTGGGGGAGACACAAGTGGTGACATGGTCATCAAGGATACTGCCCAAAAGAAACGCCCAGAAGGCCCACATCTGCAGGGGCTCAGCCCCTCACAAGCTCTTGGTGGGAATGACGTCAGAAATAAAGCGCACTTCAGCCTTTACATTCTCCCTGGGAGAATTTTTACTAACAGTCAGCAGACCTAAACCAGTCAAACAATAGTTTATCAACACACGCTGCATTAAAAAACAGCCAGTTGGTGGAAAACTGGTGTTGAGCAAGAGTCAGCTCTGTGATGGAAGACACAACCACCTCAACACCTCCTAAATCCTGGGGTAATCCTGAGCTGCTCACCACACCCCTTGATTGCTAACCAGTATTCTCTCTACTTAATCCGGTGATTCAGATCAGGATGGAAGCCCAGCAGGGCTCTGGCGCACTTGGGAACCCGTGTGCCAACAGCCGGGCCCTGATAACACACACCTCGGATGAGAAGTGACGATCCCGGCAGAGCCTCTGAAATAGGCAGCTCCCCGCACAGGGAGTGAACATCAGGGCTCAGCTTCAGTTTCCACCACCCACCATCCGCTAGAGTTTTTGTTTGCAAACTGCCCTCATAGCTGTAACAAGTAAAGGCCAGATGAACCCTTGTCATGGAGAGTCTACGCCTTGGAACACACCAGAACAGACCCCATAACTAAATGGACTATAATTTAGAGTGAAAGTGTGTGTGTGTGTGTGAGTATGCGTGTGTGCAAGCATCATAAGAAAATAAGACAACGAGATAACAGTGATTACGGAAGTTGAAGCCACGCTATATGGCCCTTAAGTGAAGGCACTGCCTAGCACAGAACAGGGCACCCACACCCACATTCAATACATGCTAGTAACTAACAAAAGTGAAAATATAAAATGGGGCAATTCTATTGGCTAAAATATGCTTCCTAGCCCTTCAACCTCCCTCAACCCCAATATCCTCAAAAACACCCAGCTCTTTCTTCCCTGCCACAAATGTGGGTGCCGCAACCTGAAGTGAACATTACTGGGAGGTGGGCCTGCAGGTGTGGGCTCTACTCCATTTATTTTTCTGCAACTCACCTGTTGGCAGGTGAGACGACAGACAGGCTCTGACAGACACCCAAGACAGTCCCATGTTTAAATACTTGCAAGCTCCCAGCAGGAAGCCCTTGCCTCATGGCAACCATGCAGAGAGGCCCTCTGCGCGTATTCCCGGAGTTCTGCTGTTGGGCATCTGCTGCGGCCTCCCACCCGGGGACAACTCAGGACAGAGCCTGCTGCCAGCACTCTGGCCCTGCTACCGGGGTGACCCCTCTAAACATCCTCGAGCCCCGGTCTCTCCTCGTAGGGTGCCCCAGCCCGATGCCCACACCCAGCACACCTCCCGTCTGCTTCCTGGGCACCAGCTCGTGCCTCACACCACATCAGCTTTGCTCTTCTTCTGTTTTGCTTGACAAGCAGGAATCCTGAGTGCCCCTGCCCCACCGAACAGTCAAGGTTAATTAGTGAAGCGACTAAACTGCTTCAGAGAAAACTCCTGAGGGTGGCTCCCACTGGTTTTCGAATTAAGCTGTAACCAAGTGGGCTTTTCCTTAACTGCCTGGGACAAGAGTGAATTCTTGTCTCCTAAATGATGGCCAAACAGCTTCTGTGGCTTCAGATTTCACACCTGCCACTGTGAGCCTGTGCCAAGTAAGCAGCCATGTTGTGTGCCATGGATGCAGGCTCACCTGGCCGGCCACCTAGCACCTCCAGATCGAATATTGGATTTTTAGTGGCTAGTAACTACTTATGCTTTGGACTCAGGAAATAATAAAAAAGCTACATTTGGAATGTGGCATGGTTTAGGCAGGGATCCTCCTCCACACAAAGAAGCTGGTCCTGGCTGGACTCAACGGCAGAGCTCCCAAGCCCGTCCATCTGGGGGCCCAAGTGCCCACCCACCAGCAAGGCCCGATGAATGAGCTGAGGAAGGTGAAGGTGCCAGGTGTGCCAATTCAGGCGCGTGCTATTTTTACTTCATCTTTCAATGTCAGGGGCGGGAAAGCTCCTGCTCTGCGCAGCCCCTCAAGCCTGTTTCCCTCAAGGCAGAAGCAAGCTGGCAGCTCCTTGCCCGAGTGCGCCGGGCCACGAGAGGCGCGAGTGCATGCTGTGTGCAGCGAGAGGGTCATGAAACCAAGCACACGCTCTTCCTACAGTGTGAGCCCCTCTTTGGGAGGTGTCCACGTGAACAGAAGGCGCTCGTGGAAGAAGAAGGGCTCGTGGGACATGGGACGACAGGACAGAAATGTGACCGAAGAGGAGATGGGGAACGTTCCATTCTCCGAAAAGAAAACCCCAGGCACAGTCATGAGGAAACACCTGGTGTGTGCCCAGACCAGCGAGACTGGGAAAACCTGGTTACCTGTCCGAGCCCCTTGTTGGCGTTATTCTCAATTATTCGAGCCTCTGTGCCTGACTGGCTTCTCTGAAACTATCTACAGAGGTGAGCCTGGCTCCTCGTCTGGAGCTGAGCACCAACTCCTGCCGTGGCCTGGCCCCACCAGCCATTGGGCCTGGCCTCTTGGGGTGACTGGCTGAGAAGGGTCAGTGTCAATCACCCCATCAGATGCGCACACTTCCCGGAGCACAAACGTTGCTAGGCGACACACCGGGAATAACCATGCTGGCCACTGGCGGCCAAGGAGATGGCTTTCTTGAGTGGGTACTTTCCTAAGTACTGACCTGGTAGCTCCCCCTGGAGCCACGGCCCGGGCCTGAGAGGTCACCAGCAGCCTCCGCAGGATTTCCACACGTATGGTTCTCCACTTCTCGGGGGGAAGGATATGGAGGGCCAGGACTGTGAAATAGTGGGGCCCATCCACTTCAAAGGCACTCTCCACCCACTTCTCTTTGGGCTGCTCCAGAAAACCCTGGAGGTTCTTCTCCTCACGGGAGGTTGCTCGGGTTCTGAAACAAAACGGGCACAGTGAAACCAGAGGGATGCTGGCCCTACGCAAGAGGGGAGGTGGTCTGCTCACTGTCTTCTTTTAAAAGTTTCTCGGACACTTCGGCCACTGCCCCTCTCACCTCCTCTCCAGCAATCCTCCCTGTTTCTTTCCTTCCTCCCTAGCGGCATCTTCCTTGGCCCTCTCCTGCCTTGGCTCAACTCAATTCCCAACATCTACAGTGTCTTGAGCACTGTGTGTGTCGGGCACATTCACAGCCATGGCCACTCCACCATCTACGTGTCTTAACAACTGTGGAAGCCCAGAGAAGTGAAGCGACATGCCCAAAGCCAGCCAAGCCACGGAGAGGAGAAGGCAGACAGCCTCAGCTGCCCCGACTCCGTGTTGTTCGCACTCCACTGGCCTCCGGTTCCCTTTCTGGGCTATTTTGGTTTGTTTTCTGTGCCCTCTCCCCTCCACCAGGACTGTTGCCCCAGGCAAGTGCTGCTCATTCTCGCTCCTGCCTCAACTGTGATGATCATGACGATCATACACTTTAGCTCAGGCACCGTTCTGAGTTTCCTGTGGAATACCTCACTCAACCTCACAGTAACCCCAGGACACAGGCACTAGCCTATCCCGGTTTTATACAAAAGGAAACCACAGTACTAAGAAAATATTTTACCCCAAATGCCTGAGGAGAGAAAGAACTGGGCTTTGAACCATCATGAACTCTCAATTTTCCTGCCATGAGGAAGCTCTGACAGGCAGCCTCTGAGCCAGCACTGAGACGCTACTGGAGTCCCTGCTGACCCTCTAGTCCCAGCTACATGCTCTCCTCTAACCTGGGTCACGCTCTCAAGCAAGAGTGCCTGAGGCCCCATCCCTGGTCTGTGGGGGAAAAAGAAAACAACACTAGTAGCCACCAGAATCAAAGCCACCAGCTCTGCATAAGCACAGCCAGATGCTGGCCTGAGGGAAATCAGGCGGGACGGTACAGACATCCTGCTTCCTTCTGCTTCCCGAAGAGTGGGCCCAGGTGGCACAGGCAGATATACTCGACTTTCCAGAACTGGGATTCCAAAGCGTTTGCCATTCCAGAACCTGCACAGCACAGCTCAGCTCTGGCTCATGCTGTGACATATCTGCCTTTACATACGTTCTCCTGAAGGCAGGCTCCACGGCCACACGCACACCAACATGAAGCTAGCTGGGGCGGCCACTGGTGCTGGGAAGCAGTGCCCCTTCATGAAGCTTCCAGGAGGGCCCCTGACAGGGATGACTATGACACAGCCAGCCCCCTCCCCAGCTAAGGCTTTGAGCATACGTTACAAACGTCTGGAAGAAGCCCAGGGACATATGAAGTCACCAGCTCCATTCTGCTGGGCAAATCAGGCTCCCTCTCTGGGTCTGCTGGCCTCCCTGGACGAAGGCGCAGCCCACTCTACCTCACGGCTGCCAACAGAGACAAGTCTACAAAAGCACAGGCCTGGTGAGCGGCCCAGGACACTGGTGAGCAGCACCGTTTGGGCCTGAAGCATAGCTGGACAGTGGGATCATCTGCGTTAGTGGCGCAGATGTTTGTCCTGACAGTCTACACATGGTAGCTGATGATGTAATGTGCTGACGGAGCCCTGTCTGGGCAGCTTTTAACAATGAAGTCTGTGGTCTCTAGGCCAGCCTGTATCTCATGAGGAAATGGGAGGGAATGAAATGTTGGAGAGAGAAAACCAGAAGAGACAAGACACAGTTGTCCCGCTGCCCACACTGAATGGCAGGTGCCGTGGGCAGACTGCACAGCTGTTCACCAGCCTGGCAACTCTGCCCAAGAGACCTGACTTTTGAAGAAGGTGGGGACTAAAAGCATGAAGCCCTTTAAATCATATCTAAGAGCTAATGTACTCCCAGTCACTTTATTTGCTTTTAAAATCGGGGTGGAATGAAGAATATTATCTTCTACCTTCCTAAGCTCTTCTTTAAAATTACACTTTTTAAGTATCGAGCTAACGTTCCATAATGCACATGCAGATGAAAAATACTCATCTATTTATTCCTGGCTATCCTCCTACCCAGCTCACTTTCCCAGAAGATCTTGCTCTCCCTCTTTCTCCTCACACTTGGCCAGAAGCTTTACTCCTGGACAGAAAAGGGCTTAACAAGTTCAGCTACTCAGTCATGAGGTGGGAACTTGGTTCTGCCACAACCCCAGCAAGGACCTTCACATCTACACTGTGCGCCCTTGACAGCAACTGTGCCTGGGTCTGGCCCACAGCCTCCGCCAGTCCCAAAAGCCCAAAAAGAGGTGACATGGAAGCTTCGGGGTCTAGCTCCTCCCACTGCCTGCTTCCCACTGGGCCGAAGGTCCGTCCCAGGATGCAGCCCCTGTCCCATGATGGAGGATGGCAGAGTTTTGGGAAGGAAGCCTCGCCTATCACTTTATCCAGTGTGATACTAAAAAGCTGCACGTTGGTAAGACGGGCTGAGGGCAGACATCTGCTCTAGAGCTAACATGGGTGGACGTGGAAGAGCCAGAAGGCTTGGTGGGCAGGGGCACAGGTTGGGTGAGGCAGATGCTGCCCACCGGGAAGTGCGGTACTGACGTGTTCAGGACGTAAAGCACAGTGTGAACGATGTACGGGATCAGGTGGATGTTGCTCTCCCGGCCACCCCCGCCGGTGTCGGCACTGAACGACTGCTCCATGGCGAAGCGCAGGAAGAGCAGCTTGATGTCGTGGATGTTGAGTTGGTATGTGGGCTCCCGCTGGCCCGTACATTCCTGGAGGTAAGTGTTGTGCCTGGAGAGAAGCAGACCGGGTGCTGAAATGGATCGGTTTCCTGGTGAAATCCCAGTCTGGAAGCCCCCTCGACACCCCTCTTGGCCGAGAGCTGCAAAAGGCACACAGACTGATAGAGGGATGAGGGGGAGAGGTAAGAACAAGGGCTGGGCCCGCAGCAGACAGGAGCAGAGGGCGTTCCGTTCTGCTGTGAACGGATGTGGTGCTCTCCAAGCTTTGATGAGAACCTGCTGCTTTGCAGGGGCGGGGGTAGGGGGGTTTGCAGTTCCTCGTGGACCAATGTCACAGACTGTACTGTGGCCGTATCTGGGAGTACATTTTGGGAGAAAAAATGGAGAACTTCTCCATTCTGACTGACAAGGTGATCTACCCATAAGAACCATCTTTTCATGCTCCAAAAGTTTTTTCCTTTATCAATGTATGTCAGCCATGACTGGTCTCCATCCCTTATGAACTGTGTGGCCTCCAGGGGGCACCTCTCTGTGCCTCGGTTTCTTCCTCTGTAGAATGTGTGCCAGACCCCCAGTGCTGCCCTAGGTGCTATTATCACTGCCGCTGCCAGGTCCCTGCTTGACGTAAGCACCTTTTTTACTCTTGAGCTTTGAGGGTTGAGCATGGGTCACCCTTCCCAGAAGCTGTAGCTACTAGAATCTAGAGTTCAGGATGAGGCAACTTTGAAACAGCCCAATATCCCCCAGGCACCTAAGTTATGTTTGTAGTTTCAGCCCCAGAGGCTGCCACACAGTGTACAGTGCACTCTGGAAAAGCCCAGCTGCAAGGACCAAGTCAGGCCCTACGTCTCCCGTCCTAAGAGCAACAAAGGAGAGAGAGTGACAATTAGTTCTAAGTGGAGCACCAGATGCTGAGGGTGCTGGCTCCTTTCTTCTCTGGGCAGCTCCCTGGCAGCAAGCAGAGAGCAAGTCACAGACTCCAATGAAGGTAACAGGGAATGGTGTCACTATGGCTGAGCTGAGAGCAGATCTCCCCTTTTCCTGGGAATCCTCTCTTCTAACAGGCAAGTGCCCAACACTCACCTTGCCAAGCAAGTGGCAAAAGCTGATTCAGGGACGTGGGGCCCCCAGACTGGAAGGAGCCCATTGCACTTAGTGTTGGCGTTCTGGAGGGCGGCACTTTCCCACTCTTCCCGGCCTCGAGCCAACCTGGATTGGGAGGAGAGCATGGACAAGTGACTGCTGGAATTAATCTGGCAATCGGGCACCTGGGCATGTGGGGGTGGAGGAGGTTTGCCAACACTGAGGAAGTAAATTAGCCGAGGCTCCAGACTAAACAGACTTGCGCCATTTGCAACCCGGCCTTGGTAAATGCCAGCTTCACTGCTTCGAGGAAGCAAGACTGCTTTCATCAGCCCTGGGCCAAAAGCCCGGCAAGCCAGACGGCAGCACTTTGTGGCTCAGAGCACAACACTATGAGGCCCAGAAACCAAGGAACAGCCTTCACACCATAGGATCTGGGCCCCACCACCCCCAAACCCTGGGTCTCGGGCAGGCTGCCCACTCCTCTGACACAGGTCAGGTGTAGCAGGTGTGAGGGAGCAGTCTACTGGCAGAGCCACATCACGAGGGCCTACCTGACAGCAGCCAAGTGGCAGTCATAGTGCACAATGTTGAAGTGGGACACAGTGCTGTAGCCCTGCTGTTTCCGGGGCTTATTCTCCATCTCCTCCAAGGCCACCCGCTTGGTGAAGGTATAAATGCCCAGGACCTTTGTGGGCTGCACATTCAACACAAAAATCAGAGATGAGGGAAGGCAGCTCTGGAAGGCAGGTGAAGCAGAGCAGAGGGAACCAAGCATTTGCCTTCCTAGGAAGGATGCATTCAGGGGAATGGGTGATAGTCAGCACCTGGCTGGGCACAGCCCTAAAGAAATGAGAAGCAACCAAAATCAGGCAAGTGCCACGCAGATGCCAAGGCAAAATGTAAACCTTAATTGTCACTCTTTTTGCCTCATCTGAAAATGAAGAGGGAAAATGCCTCCGTGGGAAATGTCTTGCATCTCAAAAAACTTAGCTGGCAGCCCCCAGGGGCCTGTGGCAGCAGGACTCTAAAGGCTGCAGCCCAGGACTCTAGCCCTCCAAGTGTTGGGGAGGAAAAGGACACCTTTCAGGCTATCAAGACAGTGTTCCGAGGAAGCAAGGTCCTGCTCTCCTGGCAGCAGCAAGGTGTGTGACTAAAAGACCAGGCATGGAGTCAGAGGGGCCTGCACCAGGGTTCTGACTCTGTCACATGACCTATGTTTTCTCATTCATAAATTGGGGCTTTTTAAGGTTTAAGGACATAAATTTTCATAAGCTCTTGGCATGAGGCCTAGCACAGAGAAGGCATCCAAGGAGAGGTAGTTCATCGAAGATGATGACAATAAGGACAATGTTCAGCCAGTTTGCCTTTGTGCCTCCAAAGAGGACAGCTGGTCGAGATGCAGGCCTATCTAAGAACACAGGCCTGCTGCAGGGAGGGATGCTGCTGGAGCGTGTCGTACCTGGAACTTGTAGCCTTCCCTGCAGATGCAGCACGTGAGGCCCGGCTCCTCAATCAGCTCCTCCATCTGCTTCAGGAGCGCCGTCTTGGTCACGACCTGGCCCTTTTCATTTGTCTGTGGGAAAACCCCGGGGGCACGTTAGTTAGAGATTTCCACGCTCCCTGCCCCAGCTTGTGGCCACTCAGGACAGGGCTGACCCACCACTGTGGGGGCTGCTGCAAGGAAAGGGCATCTCTTTAGTTGTTTTCTTTCTTTCTTTCTTTCTTTTTTTTTAAAGATTTATTTATTTATTTAGACAAGCACTGGATACAGTCAGAAGCGCGGGAGGGTGAGAGAATTCACCAGAGCCAGAGCGGGGAGCAGAGCAGGCAGAAGGACCGAAGGACACTGCTGAGGGGAGCAGCGGGCGGCAGGAGAGGTCTGCGCACCATGTGGGACCCTCCTCCGGTGGCTGGGGAGCAGCCGGGGATCGAACCGGCACTGCAGAGGCTGCGGGCAGCTTTGCAACCCAGAGCTCAACCGCTGCGCCACCGGGGAGGCCCTCTTAAGTTGGTTTCTAATGAGGATGAAGGCCCAGATTCCTCTGTTCTTCTCTCACAGGAACCAGTGAAGCAGGTGAAACCAGCTAGCCGGGACCCTCGCCAAGTTACCACTTGCCACCAAAAAAAGCCCCCTTTCTTTGTGCTACCACCCCCAGTCTCCAATGCCAAGGGCTGCTGCACAGACTTATTTACTGTCCCCATGGAAGCTCTAAAACCGCTGACACCCATTTGCTGGTCTGCAGGAGACTCCGTAGGACTGCTGCCTCCTCCACGGTGGCGACAGTGCTAAGAGTGGAGCCTCAGATCAAGCAGTCCTGGGTTCAAAATCCTGCCAACCATTTATTAGTTTTGAGTGTTGGCCAACTGACTGCACCTCTGAGCTTCAGTTTACCTGAAAAGTGGATATAATGACAGCAACCTCACAGAAAGACAAGAGGTTTTGACAAAATTTGACAAAATGCCTAAGCACAGCATACGGCAGAGCAAATCCTGGCTAAACTATCATTATCATCACCACTTTTACTGTTCGTCCCCTGTGAAGTCATTTCACAAGAGTCTCGCCTATACAGCAAAGTAAGAACAGCCCTACCTTGAGGGTTGCTGGGAAAATTAAAGACAGTGAAGCATGGAACACTGTGCCAGGCAACCCGCTTCCCTCCTCCTCTGTGGACCGTGCCCCCATCCCAGCTGTTGGGATGCGCGGCTAACTGTGTCTGGGGCTCTGTCAGCAGTGTGTGCAAGAATGCAGGGCTCAGGAGTGGCTTTACCGTCATGCCCAGGGTGCCCAGCGCCTTCTGCCGCATCGCCATGGCCATTCGCTTCTTCTCTGCCCGGGTCTCCCTGCGGGCTGCATCAATCTTCTTGTTCACGTCAGGGTGCTCCCTCAGAGCCTCCAGCAGGTTCTCAGCCAGGGTCCCGATGCCCTCATCGCTGGACACCTGCTCCAGCTTGTGCAGGTTTGTGATGGAGTCCGTGCCTATCAGAACCTGCTCGTGAGAGAGGAGACACGCATGCCGCAACCAGGTGGACAAGCCTTCTTCCCAAGAGCTTAAAGGTCTGGAAACATCAACCGGACGTGGACAGCCCCAGCATATACTCAGTTTCAACATGACCCTTTGATTCTACACTTCAAGCGATCTGGACAAATGGGCGAGGGTCCGGCTCTGCCTCTGACCTTTGACCAATCACTACAATCTTCAGCTTCAGGGTCCCTATCTATAAAATGGGGGCGATGGCAGGACTGCGGCGAGGGTTAAAGTGGACAACCATCAGTCCGATGTAAAGCCTCCAGCTCAGTGAAAAGGAGGGGGGCTCAGGTGAGATACCCTGGAGAAGCAGCACCAAGGAAGCCCAGCAGCCTGTGACATCCACAGGGGCCCAGCTAAGCTCTGCGTCTGGGGACGTTCCTCCTCTGGGCCTAGCAAGCCAGGCGTGCAGACAATGCTAACCCAGAAGTGTAAGTACAAGCGGGAGTGGGCTAAGCAAAACCTTTTTCATAAAGTAGACAGGAACAAGAAGCCCTGTGCTTGAAGCCACTGGCAGTCACGGCTGTGCAGCCCTGAGCTCAACAGGGAAGCTGAGAACACTGAAGGCAGAGAGCGCCCAGCGTCACCAGAGTCCCCGCGCTTCTAGCATAAGTGAGCAGAGGACAATCACTGCGCATCTGACCACAAACTGCGGACAACAGCGCCAACTTGCAATGCCAAAGCTCAGCACTCACCTCAGATCACTCACTAGCTCATAAATCCATTCTCATAGCAGGTACGCCCCAATTTTGTACCTCAGCAAAATTACATGCTATCTCACGTCTCACACTCCAAAATGCTGAACCCAGAGTTTGACTGCCCAGTGCACTCTTCCCCAGGCACCCCAAACTCAACAAGCTGGGTGTTTACTGTGTGCCTGTGCGCACACGCCCCCCAGATTCAGTCAATCTCCAAATCCCATTCATTCGACCTCCCAGGTCTCTGTGGAATCCAGCCACTGTCCACTTCACTGCCTGGTGCTGGCTGTGATCGTCCCACACTGAGGTAATAAAAGCTTACCAACTGTTTTCCCAATGTCACCATTGGCCAGAGGCACGGTCTTCAGCTGAAAATCTGCACTTGTCTCCTCAGAGAATGAGATTGGACCAGTGCTTATGTCTCCACCATCAGCTCTTGCCACAGCTCACCTCCAACATGCAATTGCTTCCAAACCCCGGAGCGCTTTAAGCTTTTGCCTGAGCCTTTGTAGATGCCACACTCCCTTCTAAAGTCCCTCTACACTTTGATGGGCTGACTGTGCAGTGCTCACTCTATGTGGCTGTATCTTCCGCCACAGAGTAAGCTAGAGAGGCACAGGCTGTGACTGCCTTGATCATCACCAGTGTCACTGCCACGCAACACAGCACCAGGCACATGTAGGCCCCAGACGTTACCGGAGGAGAAACTGGGTAGTGGTCTACATGGTTTCCCTATGTTATTCCTTAGCAAATGCATGTGACTCTGCAGTTACGTCAAATAAAAGCTTAACCTCAAAAGTTTAATTTAAAAAGTATATACACCTGGTCACCTAGGCCGGTTAGAATGTGTGAGGGCAGCAGAGACCTTAGCCGTGGGAAGGAGAGCAGGACGAGCGCAGAGTGGAATGGGTAGGCCTCTCTGAGCACAAAGCTTTCAGCTGCGTGAAGCAGAGCAGAAGATGGCAGCGATGGTATTACAAATGTCCCAGTCACTGTGGCCAGAAATCAAAACTAACAGACACTCTGCTTAACCAGCCTGCCACTCCCTCACAGTTCAACTGCTGCTTGGCTGGCTTGTGAGATAATGAAGCCTCCGTGAAAGAATGATTTGAATGAGAAAATCACAAATACGATGTACACCTCTCTACAAACACGAGATAAATGAGATGACTGCCAAGTCTTGTCTTCTCTAGAATTCTCATATACCAGGGCAAGTCATGGCTCAAAGCTAATCAAGGTGATTCTCTTCATCTGGTTGCAGGAGAGGAGAGCAAGTATATGGTTCCTTCACACATATGCCATCTCCCGAGCCGGTCCATGGGCAGCCGACTACACACCTGGGTGGCAGGGTGCTGGATGGCCAGTCCTCGAAGAAGTCTCAAGATAAATGGCAGGGCTGGACGAGACAAAAACTTTTTCCAGATGTCCGCATCCAAACTGCAAAGCAAAGGAAGATTTATTACTAGCAGGCCAGAGAGGCAAAGGCTACTTGGAAACCAGTTGCTGGTTCCGGCTTGTTAAACACACCCCTCCGAGAGGACCAGGACGAATCACAAAGGATCACTCGGCTCAGCTAGGAAGTCAGGTGGAAATGGGTCCTGTAAACAGAAATCGCAGCCCCCAAGAACTGTGCAAGGCTGAGTCGCCAGCTTGGGAGGGAGACGCCAAGGACAACAAAGGAAAACTGAAACTCCATGCCAAGGTGACAGAGGCCAGGAGAGGAGCCACTGACAGGACTGCTTCTTACTTCTTGGCACTGGGAATGTGCTTTTTCATGTAGTCAAGTGCACTCTGGGTAATTCCCTTCTGGAGAATCAGATCCTTCAGCTGATGTCCATTGCTGTTGTTCTTGATGCCAGCTGCTATTTTACAGAAGCAGTCCAGGAATACTTTATCATCACCGCTGTGGTCTTCATCATACCTGAGGGGAAAAGTAGAGTCTGAGGGTGGAAGGAGTAAGAACCTAAGCTGAGCATGTCATTCTCGTGGCTAGCAACCTTCAGGAGCCTATAGGACCACACCTACCTAAACTCCTTAGCACGACAGAGCCCCTCTGCCATGCTCCCTCCATCTGCCATCTCCCCAGCTCCCCTGTGTGGTCACGCTCCGGCCGTCCCACGTGACACCCTCCATCACACTCCCCACCTCACCAACCACATCACCATCTCTGCCAAGCTAATATAACATAGTATCTTTTCATCCTCGGCTTTACGATTTGAGTCCCTTAAGGAACACAAAGTCTTTCTTCTCACAAAACAGTCCAGAGTTTTTGTGCGGACCATCATTTATTCACATGAAATTCAAGCAACGTACTTGTCAAAGCTGCAGTATGGTTTGAACCGCTCCACCAAGATTTGCATTTTCTCCACCTCTCCAAAGGAAAGGTATGGGATGATGCGAAGCAGGCCCTGGAGCACACTGGGATTGGAGCGAACAAAAGTGCTATTGATCTGGTCCAAGAGCATCACGAGCTGATCTTTGTCACCCGTCAGCAAGAGGTTGCCCTGCAGTAGGAAAAAGGATGGCCCATTAACTGGGTCAGGACTTCAGCAGCCGCTAACATTTACCTGACCTATCAGAGCCACCAGATGGAAGTCCTAGAAAAACTGCCTCAGCACTTGCTGTGGACAGTCAACAGGATAAGTCCCTGGTTATTCCCAGGTTTCTGGGATGGTTTTGTTAATAGTCTCGGGGGCTCAAAATACACCAATATAGTTTTCCTCCCATCCCCACTAGCAATGGAGAGTGCAGGTTTCAGTGTGACGGCAGATGGAGGGGTCTGGGCCCTGCTCACCTTGTCTTCACTCAGGGGCTCAGCATTGGACTCATCCAGAATGATCTCCATGATGCTAAGCACCTGTTCGGCCACAGCTGCACCACCGCTGTCCTTGCTTTCTTGTTCAGCTACCAGTGCCTACCGGAGAGGGAGACCCAGTCATTCTGAGGATAAGACACAACCACTCACCAATGATGGGATATGCTTCTCCAGGGAGGGGTCTGCTGCTCCTCATGATCTTACTTCCCAGAGACCCCGTGTGTGTTTGTGTGGGCTTTCAAGAACACCTCCCATTGGTGTGAGTATGGACTGTTTTAGGGACTAACTTCCTCTTGTCTCTGATCTGAAGTCAGAAAAAGGGTGCCATGGCAGCAGCACAGGGAGAAGGCTGCATAGGAAGGGACAGCCTGAATGCTTGAGCCTTGGGGCCAGTCAGCCAGACACATGAAGGGTCTTAAGAGGAAATCCATTTCATCTGAGTCCAGAATTGAGATGTCTTTCCCCAATTAAGGATTTCTAAGGCTCATTCTTTATCTTTTGCAGCCAACACTCTTACCAAGTTTAAAGTCCCCAGCATGACGTTCAAAGTGTTCATTTCCAGTTTGACCAGCTGCTGCCGGTTGACTTTCACCTTCACACAGTAACTGAACAGTTTCAACAGCACCTGACAAGAAAAGGCAGTCAAAACCCATGAGACCATCTGAGAGCAAAAGCTGTGGGGACAAACAAGGAGAGAAAGTCAAAGGGAAGAGCCACATACAATCAGCAGATTCCACCCCTGATAGCCAGAGGTCGGCAGGGACAGACATACTAAAGGGGACATGGGAAGGTGGAGACGATCTCAAACCAGCTTGGCAGTTTAAATAACAATGTTCTCCAGTGCTAGCGCCACCTCTAAAGCAGTGACAGCAATTCCCAATGAAACAGGTGGCACTCTGTTCTCTTGGGGGAAGTTGCTATCCTAACTCCAAACTAACAGCAAGCAGATTCCAAAGCTCATAACTTGTGGGAACACAGAACCACATAGATCATTTAGGACATGGATACAAGGATGCACATTCTCTAATTTCCTGGAGGACAAAATGATAGCACAGTATTTGGAATCCTCTACTCCTTACTAACAGGTAGATGAACACCTGGACACAGTCATGCAAGAAAGAGCTGCTTACAAAGCCTATTTAAAAAACTATACCACTTCCACTGCTGCTGCTGCTGCTGCTACTGAAAGACAAGTGCAGCTTTTTGGGAAAAGACAATTACACACTGATTCTGCAGGTAACTAGACAGACAGAAGAGAATGCGGTCATCACACTGGCTTTTCTGGGGGGTATGGACCAGGAAGAGGGAAGTGGAGGAAACCAGTCTAAAGTGTAGAAAACTCAGCGAAGCTGCCAAGTCCTTCACGGGCTTGCACTGGCTCATGGCACCATGCTGCCCTCTAGGGCTTAAAGGCACAGTGACCACGAGTCTCCTTACACAGAGGCCTTTCCCAAAGCAGAGGGGCTGGTCCACCTTACTGCCTTCAACTCACTGTTAGAAGGTGACGTCCCTGCTTGAAATCTTTGATCCCAGCGAGTCTGTTAAGCATGCACTCCAGGCCCCCACACTGGGCCATCACGCTAGCCATCTTATATACTTCTTCTTCATCTTCTTCTTCATCTGGGAAGAAGGGAAGGTAACAGAAATGAAGGGGACGGTGGCGAGGGGACTGGAGAGAGCTCTTCCAGGCTGACCACCCCCTTTCCCACGGGACAGTAACACGGGCCAACACCGGCTATTGAAGTACACTCTCTCATGCCCAGTAGGCGCTTTAATCAATTACACTTACTCACACATGTGAAAATAAAAGCACGTACCACATCCACCAATGAAATAAAAAACTAAGCTAATGTGAATCTCAACTCAAGTTTGCTGCTGACTTTATTTTTTCCCAAGGTTTTTTTCCCCCGTCCTCAG